AGGGGTTAACAAAAAAAAGTGTAATTTACCATCTCAAAAATATAGACAGTCCTAACTTACATTATTATACTTCATGTCAAAATGCCAGATTTTGATTGGTTAATACGAGGGCGACAATTTACTCTATCCTGTGGTAAATACTCTATTACCCTTCACGGAGACGCTTGATCAAGTGTGCACTTTATTAATACGGATGGTTGTTATATATATGTACAAGACGTCATAGTTTATTACTTTGAATTTGAAATTTAATAGACAGTAATAACAGAACCTTCAGTATAATAAATTAAATAACACATATCTGAGAGGGTGATAGAGCAGATTGTTACCCCTCGAAAAGACATTGTTAACCTTGGCTTCGCCTCAGTTGACAATGTTACGGGGTAACAATCTGCTCTATCACCCTCTCAGCTATGTGTTATTTATATAATGTTTCTACCTTCTAAGGCTACTGTGAGCCAGTTTTGTGACACAATGTGAATGATGTGCTCTTTTTACACTGAGGGGGTCTCGAATACTTAAAATCCATCCCTTTGATATTGCAAAACTTGACACATTCCTAAAGCTTCTGTCTAACCAACCAATGTGATTCTGAAGGATTTGTTGAATACACTGGATAATCTTGTTTCATAAATACGGATTAGGAAATGTATCTTTAAAACCTATTTATAGCAGTATGTACTAACCTACCATGATATTTCGTGTTTGTACTCTTAAAAATAGATGCGTTCTTAAGATTTTACACGTTTATGAAAGTGATATTTATGAAGGTTATAAACATTTGCTTCTTATCACGAAGACAATTTTACAGTGTGTTGCATTGTAACTGTCTTACGACAAGGCAAGGTCAAACATGCTCAATTGAGTGGGTTTTCTAAAATAAAACAAATTATGATGTGACATTGATTTTCATTTTTTTTTATGTTTAACTTATCAAAGATACAGGGTTATTATTTAGTACGCCTCACGCGTGTAAGACACTCGAATCAAAACAGTTAGAAGGCCAAATCAAATACGATATTGCAGCGCATTGATTGACACAATTCCAAAAAATGTGCAAAATCTATCTTAGGCCGCCATCTATTCTTAGAGGTAGAACACCGAAATGTATCGAATGATTTTAACCTTTTATGAACAGTGAATTTACAGAAAATGACCGTATCAATATTTAAAGCCATCACGTACAGCAGCACTGATTATTGTGCTCCTAATACCCTAGCGGAAGAAACGTTCGCCAGCAGTGGCATAGATCTAGTGGTAGTATAAACTCTTCAGTGGGGCTCGAATGAAAACAGGTAGAAGGTCAAATTGTAGAGCATTTGAAAACCAAAAATTCGAAAAATGTGTGCCTTATAAATCTTAAATAATCGTTTCAGTCCATATAGAAATACGAAGATGTGGTATGATTACCAATGAGATAACTCTCCGTCAGATACCAAGAAGATGTGGTATGATTGCCAATCAGAGACTAATTGAAGTACAGGTTGTCGTACGGCCTTTAACAATAAATGTAAAACAATTCAAATGAGAAAATTGACGGCCTGACTTATGAACAAAACAATAAAACGAAAAAAACAGATATGATATACAACAACAAACGTTTCAGTTAATACCATATGTATGGAACGCCAAAACTGTCTTATTATGTCCATTTGCCATTATATGATGTGATTTTACCTTTATATCATGTGCATTTGTCAATTTATGATGTGTACAAACCTTTATATGGTGTCCAGTTGACAGTATATGATGTGCAAATATACTTATATGATGTGCAAATATCTTTATATGATGTGCAAATATCTTTATAAATATGATATGTTTCAAATCAAACCCTACTTCAACAAGGTTAATATGAGGATGAATGGCCGAAATTATCACTTCATAAGTTTTACAATCATGAATTGGTTGACCGTTTCAGTGTCCCTGTTTCTCAACTTACCTGTCACATTATAACTCTGTCATAAATCCACAAGGATAATTATGTAAATTGTACATTTTTACATCGTGAAGTCATGTTTATGTAAATTTTACATTTGTACCTGGTGAAGTCATGTTTATGTAAATTGTACATTTGTACCTGGTGAAGTCATGTTTATGTAAATTGTACATGTTTACCTGGTGAAGTCATGTTTATGTAAATTGTACATGTTTACCTGGTGAAGTCATGTTTATGTAAATTGTACATGTTTACCTGGTGAAGTCATGTTTATGTAAATTGTACATTTTTATCTGGTGAAGTCATGTTTATGTAAATTGTACATGTTTACCTGGTGAAGTCATGTTTATGTAAATTGTACATGTTTACCTGGTGAAGTCATGTTTATGTAAGGTGAAGTCATGTTTATGTAAATTTTACATTTTTACCTGGTGAAGTCATGTTTATGTAAATTTTACATTTTTACCTGGTGAAGTCATGTTTATGTAAATTTTACATTTTTACCTGGTGAAGTCATGTTTATGTAAATGTTTGGGTTAGAGAGTTCCTGGTGAAGGTAAATTCAGATAAGAACTTCAGACGCACGAAATTTTTAAAATCTTATTTACATCTTTGAAACTTACCAATCGGTGTCATAGCCCTTTCAACGTTACCACATTTGGAGCAGGATCTACTTGCCCTTCCGGAGCACCTCAGATCCCCACGGTTATTAGTGGGGTTTGTGTTGTTCAGTCTTTATTTTTTTTATTCTGTTTTGTATACTGTTGTGGGTCTTTTTGTCGTTTTTCGTTTTTTGCCATGGTTGATTTTGAAATAAGGAGATATGGTATGATTGCCAATGAGACAACTATCCACCAAATTTTAAATGAAGTGGATGTAAAAATTATACGCAACCGTACTGCCTTCAACAATGAGAAAACCCCATACCGTATAGTCGGTTATAAAAGGTCCCGACATGAAAAATATGAAACAATTCAATTGAGAAATCTAACGGCCTTATTTATTACGAAACAATTTACGAAAAACAAATATGACAGACATGAAACAACGACAACCACTGTATTACAGGCTCTTGACTTGGTACAGACACATGAAGAATATGGCGGGGTTAAACATATGTTTGAAGCCCCAACCTTCCCCCTAACCTGGGACAGTGGTGTAACAGTACAGCATAAGAACAAACAATCAAATCAGTTCAAAAGGGCTTAACTCATTAGATCAATACAAAGCAGAAAAAATCTAGCAAAAACACAGACGTGACGTGGCAGGGTATTTATACATCCCTAAGTTTGTTTTCGACTTATGAGTGTGAATGTCCCTTAAGTATCTTTCGCATTTCTTCTATAATATTTAGAATTTTCGAATATGTGCCGCGAGTATCACTTTGCGCATCTGGTGCATTAATATTGGTACCCTTAATGTTATTTCTATTGAGTGTGCCTTTGGAATAGTATGACGGGTGATGGAGGCAAAGCAGGATATGGTTACCCTGTCGATGCACCTGATCACACTCCGTTTGGAGTTCATGCGATTCTGCTCCTACATTTTTTTGTTACATACCTGATTTATACTATGCGAGTTTCGCCGTTTTAGAATATAAAGGAATATGGATACATTGAATTTCATTGCTCGTACTCCAAAAATGAAAATAACGTAACATCAATGGTTGAATTTCCATTGTTTATGTCCTTTTTAAACCAATCACAACGTTTTGGTGTATACATATTCGAATGAGTTTCACAAAAAAACTTACGACTAAAATTGATTGCAAGTATACTAAATTGTGTAAGATTTACGATCAACTTAATTTAGGCGTAAGATTTTTTTTTTGTGAAAAATATAGCCCGTAATTGAGATTCTGAAAAGTCGAATTGTTGGAATACCTGTTTATATTACATCACAAAAGAGATGGCTTTCAAACTAAGTGCCAGTCTTTGTAAGAAAGGCAATTTAGAAATGTATCAAAACATGACCTAACCATCCTATTTTGAAGTTATCCTCATCCTGAAATAGTAGGTCTTTCGTTTCTGTGTGTCTGGTTATTCGAGTAATCTCTTAATTGTTTATTTCTAGTGCGTTTCAACCAAATTATATCTTGAAATACGAGAACAGAAAAAAGGAAAAGAATGTTATATTCATTTTGTCATGTCGGGGCCTTTAATAGCTGAGTAAACGGTATGGGTTTTACTCATTGTTGAAGGTCGTACAGTGACCTTTTGTTGCTTGTATCCACCTTATTTGACCCTTGTGGATAGTAGTCACCATTGCAATCATACCACATATTTATATGATAATAAAATTGAGAATGGAAATGGGGAATGTGTCAAAGAGACAACAACCCGACCATAGAGCAGACAACAGCCGAAGGCCACCAATGGGTCTTCAATGCAGCGAGAAACTCCCGCACCCGGAGGCGTCCTTCAGCTGGCCCCTAAACAAATATGTATACTACTTCAGTGATAATGGACGTCATACTAAATTCCAAATTATACACAGGAAACTAAAATTAAAAATGGTACAAGACTAACAAAGGACAGAGGCTCCTGACTTGGGACAGGCGCAAAAATGCGGCGGGGTTAAACATGTTTTTTGAGATCTCAACCCTCCCCCTATACCTCTAGCCAATGTAGAAAAAACAAAAACAAAAATAAGACTATGTTGGTATTATCAATGAGGACGTTTCCTGTTTTTGGTTTTCATTTATACATTGCAGTAACTACATTACTGTAGTTAATAGACCAAAGATGACTGACGAAATAGTATCATAATCTGTCCAGTTCTGAAACCGGATCTGACCTCTAGTCAATACTAAGGATACTGCGTGTGCATCGATGTATACCTTACTGAAGACTGACATCACTTTGGATTATAATTGGAACATTGAATACGTCTGCGCGCGCTTTACTACGTGCCAGCTTTTCTGAAAGATATCTTGGTCTTGTACATTGCTATTTCTGATTCCTTTTCGACAGTTTCGACTCTTTACATATTTTATGATATACAATTAGTGTAGATTAGAGTTAGCAATGAAAGTCATTAAATATTGAAATTTCTTTTATTTTTTCAAAACTATTTACAGTTTGTAAACGAATAAATGTTGTAAATGATAAAATGACAAATGGAAAACATGCATAAATGATAATATTTTATAATGACAGATGTGACATTTTGTTAATAAAAGCAATGACATTAAATAAATGACATTTTGTAGAATAGTCATATTGCACATGGTTGGTGTAGCCGAAACACAGAATGTTTACGTGTCCGTTGTTAGGAATCCCTTTCCAGTTCGTCTTAGTTAGATACCTGATTATCGGCCAAATTTTGGGTTTGGATGGTTACAATATATACCCAAATTCTTTATTAAACATTTTGCACTACTCATTGGTTCGCATATTCCTACAACAAGAAAACAAAATTAAACATATATAGAAAGAAGGAGGTGTGATATGTTTAAGGAGCTACCATTTGATTTTTAGGGGGGGGGGGAGGGGGGCTACGATGAAATTTGAAAAAAAAAGAGTTTTGAGTAAAAAAAAAGGCAGGATGACAATTTATGTAAAAAAGTCAGGATAAACTAATAAAAAAGGCAAGACCGAATAGAGTGAAAAATAAATAGGCAGGACAGAGATTACAACTAAAAAAAAAATGCAGGACAAAATTTTTCACCCTAGTCCCCAAAAAAATCAAATGGTAGCTCCCTTAGAATAGAAAAAGAAAATATATGGGGTATCCATCCATAACATAAAATCAATCCATGCACAGCAACAACAAAAAAAAAACACACACACATAAAGCAAAGGAAAAGCGCTTTTATTGTCCTTTATTAAGGAATAGCAGTCCTTTCCCGTACAAACGTCATAAATGCAGCGACCTAGCACAGACAAAATATTGCGTTTATTTGCAATGTAACGTGTGTCACATCTAATTTTGAACATCAAAACTTTTATTGTTTTTGTTCATTATCTGTAATTTACCGATAAATCTAAAATCTAGGTTGCCCCGAGCATACCGGATGTTAGATAATTATTCCAAAAAGACGTGGTATGCACATGGAAAATACGTCATACGTTTTTACACAAAAGTGTTAATATAATGACGGTAAGTAAGATGAAAATAAACGGAAAATGAATAAACCATCAATGGTTCACTATCCATATCAAGATCAACATCAATACATTGCAGTCTTAGTCACTAAATTTCTCGAGATTGAACGATATTGAACATTGTTTTGTTGTTCGAAGTTGTTTAACAACTTTTCTACTTTGAATCAAACTTAAAGGAACATATATGTCAGGCTATTATATAAAGAAACGGACAAAACAACATGAAAATATGACAAAAACGAAGTTCCTACTACAATCCTACTACAATCATTCCTCATCTCCTTATCTTTATATTCCTAGTACAAGTGATTTTATAGACTGTCGATTCTTGCCGTTGGGTGGGTGTCACATTGACGAATACAACACATCTTTTTTATTCATGCATAAAAAATCATTCAGTTTACCTTTAAAGTGCATGTATGGCGGACCGTACAACAACATGTACTGCAGGGCTGATATGCATAAAACTACTTAAGTTAAGATTTGTTCCGAACGGACGGATTTTTCTACATGTCCTACGTTCAATTAGTACTACGATTGGATATCTTAACTTAAGTGGTTTTATGCATATCAGCCCTGATCTCTAATTAAAAACATCAATGGCGCATTTAAACACTGTGTACAATTCTTATGACAAACTGACCTGGATGTCCAGTTGCGTTAAATATCACTGGGTGTGTTGCTTCCATGTACCATTCACATTTTGGATCTCCTAATTCTTCTCCGTTGGTTTTGCCGTCACCATCAGAATCCATTTCACAAAGGTTAACAGTCCATCTTAAACCAGCTTGGAAAAAGTCCTAAATACAAAAACAGTTTGTATAATTGTATGTTTTTCTCTTCCCTTTTACATAGATCGAGTTAAAAAAAAACAGGAATCGAGTTACTGAAAAAAGCAGGAATTTTTCCTTGCATCAGGAACATATATATTGTTAGATATACTGTTCCCAACTTAGATCGAGTTGAATAAAAACAAGACTTTTCCTTAGATCGAGTTAAAAAAAAACAAGAATTTTTCCTTAGATCGAGTTAAATAAAAACAGGATTTTTTCCTTAGATCGAGTTAAAAAAAACAGGAATTAAAAAAAAAATTCCTTAGATCGAGATAAAAATAAAACAGGTGAGGGAGAGTAGTCAAAACTTGTTTAATTTCGTCACATCTCAATTGTCTATCTAATGTTATGAACCACGTCAGTATTTGTCTCAGTTATAGTTTTGTCAGTGTCCTTTAAGGAATTAGCAAATCTTTGACAGATATTTTGTTTAAGACATTTATCCATTGTTAAAGATCGTAATATGTTGACCAGTAAATGTATTTCCTTTTTTATTGTTGTTGTTTTGTAGTCGTATAAAAACATATATCGTCCTATCCAATTAAAGTTTGTCAAATTTTCATTTTTTTGTAAAAAGTTTAAACTTCCTAAGAAGGATAATTAAAACCCCATAGATTAATGAACAGCAGTGTATAGTTAGTATCAAGCAATACTGACAACTTTCTGGAATATTTCTATATTTGATTAACATGTTTATTAGAAATTTTTCTTCGGAATAAAGTAATATAAAAAAACGAATAAACAAAATAAAAACATCTCAATAGTTTGAATATAAATATGATTTTAAAGTATGCAACGACGAACATAGTATATGAAAAGTCTTTGAATAAAATGAAAACGACACGACTGTTGGTCAGTTTTTTGTTGCTTTAAAATGTTCAGTGGCAAATAGTTCATAAATACTATTGACGAAAAGATGCCACACTCGATAGATACAACACTCCTACACAATAGAAGAAGTACAAGACGGTCACCATAAAAGTATTTTCATTTTTATCTTAAAAAATTGTCATTTTGCTCCTAGACTTAAAAAAAACCCACACAAATCAATTAAATGATCACCTTACCTGACCAAATATATTACGGTTTCCTCCTCCTACTTCTCTTAGATGTCCAACACCTAGCCATGTTCCTTTGTTACAGGGGTTCGGAACACGGTTGCCATTCGGAATCCTTCCCTGGAACCAGGGAAATCCATATACCAAAGAAAACAATGAAACAGAAATCAATATTTGTTGCATATTGCAAAGTTTGAACATTTGACGTTTACAATCAGGTTATTTTATTCACGTTGAGAGAGTTGTATACCAAAATTTCAGAAAGGGTTCTTATTTATATACCAAGCGTAGTGGGCGGGCTTTTTAATCCAATAAACACGTCTTTAAGAGGGACACCCAAGAATTTTCATTCCCACCTTTTAAAACTTCAGTTGATAACATTTGAATACATTAAGTTTGTTTATTTGTTTAAGAAATACAGGCCGAAATACCCCATGTGCAGTTTGTCTTTTCGTGAGTACGTGTAAATAGCCACTGCGAAGGGTTTGTAATCGATAGGACATTGATGTATACAACTAATTTGCATGATTTCGTTTTGACTCCTTAAGTCAAGATAACTTTATTATAATGTTATATGGTAGCTAGGCCTTATCCTTAAAAGGTGCATTTTATAATAATATCTTATAATCTGTATTTTTTAGAATAATTATTAATAATCCTTTTATCTATTTTTTATTAATTTATTCTTATTCTTTTTATATATCTTATCATTCTTGTTATTATTATCAAATTGCAATCAAGACATACATTATAAAAGAATAAAGCGCAAAGAATTCGGAAACTTTTAACTTATGAACGAATTGAAACAAATAATTTCAATTTTTTATACTTTAAATTAAAAAAACACTAAAACTACTGCCAAAAAAGTAATGTACTTTTATGACATTTTTTTCATAATGGATCTGCGATTCTTAAAAATCTTAGCTCGATTAAAAAATACAAAAAAATATTTATTATAGCATTAATTGAAACCATTTTAATTACTATAATGGTATTCTTTAAAACACGTCGTTCAACGCACGTATACAACAGAGAATTCGTTCAATTTGAAATTCAGATTTTTTTTTTAAGTTTGTAAGTTGGAATGAAACTTAAAATCAACACAAGATATAGTTACGATTCGAATAAACTTAATTGTCCACCGGTTACTTTTGGTCGTTTTCTGTTGTGACGGTAAAATTAATACGGAAATTGTTTTATTTCATGCAAAGAAGGACAGTACGTAGATGTAATATATTTAAATTCTAGAAATAATGCTGCCTTTCATTCTAATATCGGCCGCAGTACTTCTGAGGTGATTTCATACAGAAAAGTCATTGACAGTGCAGAACGAAATGACCTTGTGTAATGCTCAAAATAAATATGTACAGAATTTCGATAAATAAAAAAATATAAAGAAACATTTAATTAATGTTTCCAACTATGGTGTTATGAACAGATATATCATGTTAAGGAGGGGTATTTTCGAAAAATACCAGTCGAGAGAATGTTAAATTTCGCGAGCCGTAAGGCGAGGGAAATTCATTCTCGACTGGTATTTTTCGCAAATACCCCTCAAGAACATGCTATATCTGTTTAATTACACCGAATGTTAACGTTCAAAAACGCATTGATGATCGTTTCCCCAAATAATACCAGACACAGATTTAAGAGTAACAGTATAAATCAAACCATTAAGGAATCATAGTCGAATAAGCCACGGGGGGTTACTTCCTATTATTGGGTATACGGGGATGTGCCAAAAATATGGGTCATTATTTTGCGAGATTTTATATAAAAATGACCCTCCTTCTTAATGACGTCCTATATTATAATACATTTACGTTTGATAACTGTATATTGATTTGGGGTATGATCTACATATCATATATAAATCTTACATTATTAATGGTCAATTATTATATTGAATTAAATCAATTCATTTGAAACTTCACCTTTCAAATAAGTTCCCAAAATGAACCCTGGATGTCAATTCATATATACAAACTTAAGGGTAGCTGTATATTTATGAATTATGAGTGATGATATAGATTAAGTGCTTATATAAGCACGGGTCATATTTTTAAATATTGTATATATTTTATTAAGTATAGGTCATTCTTTCGTAAATATTTATATAACTATAGGTACTGAATTTCAGTGAATGTTATATTAAAATGGGTACGCTTTTAGGCAAAAATGGCACATCCCTATCAAAAAAATATCGAGGTAACCCCCCCCCCCCCTCCCCCCCCCCCCTGGAATAAGCAATAAAAAAAGATTGAATTGTCAGTTCCTAAACTTATTTGCCTTTTAGATACTATTATCATGCAAAGCTTCGTATATATAATACAATTATATTTTAAGTTGCAATTGGAATTGCTATTAATTACTATTATGATATATTTCTGTATGAATTCGTGATAAAATTTAGTTAATGGTTTCACTTAGGGTTATTTTAAATGATCTTCATTTGATAAAATTGTCTTATCATTATCATTTTAGTTTTCCTAAACATATTTTTTAACTTGTCTGTTTTCAAAACGAATATTTCTTTTTTGCTTAAAGGTTACCTTACAAGGTCACACAAAAACGCTATAAAAAAAAATTTATGACAATCAAACCGATTTTAATCATTCTTTATCTTAGTCACCAACCCTTCATATTTGTGAAAGTATATGTGGGAGCATGTTGTTTTTTTTTCACGGGAAGACATTTTTTTCAACGTTAATCAAAAACAAATTTTGCAACAAACAATTTTTCAACTCCTCTTATGAAAGTTTGTTTTCTCCAGACATTTAGAATCGAGCAACGTATTTCAATAATTGTGTTATTCTCGAAATTAATGGTCGATTCCTTATTTTAAGAGAATTGCCAACAACCAGTGGCTACGTGTGGGTATCCTCAATACTCCGTAAATACCTTAACCAATTATCTACCTTACAAGTCTTACATAGCTAATTATCTGCCTTACAAGACTTACATAGCTTTGCTATTACGATTTTAGTAAATAGTTACTTAATATGATAATATAATGAGGTTTTTAAAAATGCGTTACACTTGATCGTTTGTTTACTCCTAGATGTCTTAAATGTTTAAATGTGTTGCTGAATTGGTGCCTCGTCGAAGTATACCACGGGCCCACATTTGCATCATTGATACGATAGTATGTTATACTACCATTGGCGGGTCTAGGGGTGTTCTGGGGGTTGGAACCCCCCTTTTTTGTTGTTTTTTATATTTTTTTTTATTTTTATTTTTTTTAATTATGTGAACGTTTCATTGTTTTCCGAGGTTTGGACTCCCCCTTTTCAAAATGGCTGGATCCGCGGCTGACTAATGATAATTTGCTAAGACTAAAGGATAAAGTAACATTTTCAATTTAATGACATTTCCTTTGCATATTTACCTCGTAAACCGATCAATTTCAAGGTCAAATTTTAGGACCAAATACTATCATTGAATTTCGGGGGGTCTGGGTTACTAAAACCGAAAATACATATCGATGATATATTTAAATAAATCGCCCGACCTTGTCACGTTTTTATAATTGATAAGTTTCTCTAACACAGATTAGGAATTGTATTTTTAGCCTCAAACACTTATTTATGTTCGTCTTAACCTTGAAATTAATATCATAAGAAATATATGTATACCATGTCACGCTTAAACATGATAAAGATTTGTTTTTATGATTCCATAGCCAATCAACATTAAACAGATACGGAATGTTTCTGCAAACTAAAATCGTGACTTGCAGCTCATTCTGACGTCTTCTTCGTGGTTGGCGTATAAACAATATAAATAAGAAGATGTGGTATGAGTGCCAATGAGACAACTCTCCATCCAAGTCACAATGTGTAAAAAGTAAACAATTTTAGGTCAAAGTACGGCCTTCAACACGGAGCCTTGGCTCACACCGAACAGCTGTCTATAAAGGGCCCCAAAATGACTAGTGTAAAACCATTCAAACAGGAAAACCAACGGTCTAATCTATATAAAAAACGAGAAACGAGAAACACTTATGAACCACACCAACAAACGACAACCACTGAACAACAGGCTCCTGACTTAGGACAGGTGCATACAAATGCAGCGGGTTTAGGGGCCCTTTATAGCTTGCTGTTCGTTGTGAGCCAAGGCTCTATGTTGAAGGCCGTACTTTGACCTATAATGGTTTACTTTTACAAATTGTGACTTGGATAGAGAGTTGCCTCATTAGCACTCGTACCACATCTTCTTATATCTATTTCACATAAAAGAAAAGATTGGCCAACACAAACCGGACAAAAAGGTGTGCCTCGCAAAGGTCAGCAGTTTCTTCGCCAACAGTGATATAGGCGGAGTTGCTCAGGACAAGTGAAACTGTGATGATAGGCAGCATTCGGTAGTCCAAACGAGAAAATAAGGACGAAATTGTTACTACGACAAACGGAACAAACCTGGATTTATCTGTGACAAAGACTTTCCGTAACAATCATTCCACTTATAGCCCACATCTCTTTCTATTCATATTGAAAATTATAACAGAGATATAGGAAATACGTCAATGAGACAGCAACCCAACTAAATCAATAACCAAATAAAACCTAGAGGTCAACATACAGTCGTTAACAATAGACAGATGTCTATCAATCATACCAAGCTCTAACTCGCCTTGAAGTGTCTATCGTATATATATATATATATATATATAACAGAGCGAATCATTTATTTTGTATATAAACAAGTGTGGACACAGATCAGTGTGGATAGTATGATTGGATGTTTAAAAGTGTTTTATATGACAGAAGGAGTTCTATGTTTTATGTTTTCTATGTATTAACTGTGTTGCACAATGACAACCAACATGAGCATTAGGGGTGTTGTTTATGTAATATTTAGTTTTTTATGTTCAACACGGGCATGGAAGAGATACTAATTGCATTAATTACCAAATGATTATGATAGAATATATATGTTCCACCTCTTTGATTTTGGATACATTTTGTAGCTAGGAGAGGAACACATAATAGGTTCATTTTTTTCTTAATGTGATTTTTTTATATGGTAGATGGTATCTGAGAACATGTATTTGCTTACTATTTCTATGGTTCTATTTATATTACTTTGTGGGGGATTGTCAGTATCATAAGTAAAAGATTTCGGTTAAATATGGAAATTGTTTCTCAGTTTAGAAGAAATTTAATGTTTTTTAGTAATGACAATGCCTGACATGATGATTGGGGCTAGATGAGCTAGAAAGTGA